ACTGATAATCGTGTTCGCAAGCACTCGAAACAACGATTCTAACGAACTGATAAAAACGATACTCTCGGGAAGAACTTACGGATGAACGGAGAGATTGTGTTTTGAATGAGTTTTTTTTTTTTTTGTGTGTCTCAGAATACCCAGGAGGAAGAAGACGATGGCGGTTTTAAAACCGTCATTGGGCCAAAAACGAGAGGCTTCAAAAAAGCCCATTTACTTGGTCCAAAAAGAATAATCTTGATGGACCTTTGGTCCAATTGCCCAAGCCTAAGCCCAAGCCCGGCCCGGCTCGGCGCGCGCGTGGAGTTTCCCTCCTCTCACACTTGGTCCATAGATGTGTTATGTTTTGAACATAGACACATGAGTGACCATATATATACACTATGAAAAACTCCCAAACTTTAGATGTGAGACTTTTTAAGTGTCACTCACTTAACAACCAAGAGGCTTTTCTCATTCACATTTTAGAACCCATTTTGACAAAACAACAAGCCCACTAAATAGCCCAATTGATTCAAAATCACGGTTCCAACACTTTCTTCTCCTCGTCCAGCAAGAAAGTTGAACAAGGCGTAGTTGGAATATCTAAACCGAACAAATCCAACGCTAAGACCTTGCTCCACGATACCACCTTGGTCTCATCAATCTTATTTGTCATCCATATTTGAGTTATGTAACTATTATAGCAATCCAATAACCGCAATCTTCTCTTCTCTAACAACGGAAAGACTTTTAGCTACATAACTATCCGACATACTTGGAAGAGGCACATGTACAAATTTCTCAGTTGAAAAATCAAACTTGAGCAAGGATAGGCTGATTGGCGTTGCTGTTTCATTTTTAGCATACACGTAAGTATCTCCTTTTAAAGACACGCAATGATCATGCTCAAGAGTCCTCCGGGCTGGTACTTGTCATAAAATTTGAAACATTTGTAACATTTTTTTAATGAAAAACAAAAATACTATAGAATATTGATTAAAATTTCTTTTGATTTACTTATATAAAGAAATATAAATTTAGTTATGTAAAATTTTGTAAAGATTTTGTTATAATACACGTTTGTCATATATGTTTTTTTAAACCACGTCATACTAAAATTGGTGAGATTGATTTGGGTGATGACCAAGGCCGGCCCTAGGGATATGTAAAGAGTGCATTTGCACATAACCCCTTTATAAAAAAAAAAATTAGGCCAAATTTGTTTTTAAAAAAATACTTTTTATTATTATTTTTTTTTTATATAAGCAATTAGTATCCGAATTTTTTTTTTTTCTGGGCCTTCTCAAACTTCTTAGATAATACATAGAGGATAACAAAATTAGGCAAAATTTGTTTTAAAAAAAATCTTTTTTTTTTTTTTTATATAAGCAATTAGGGTCCGAATTTTTTTTGTTCTGGGCCTTCTCAAACTTCTTAGATAATACATAGAGGATAACAATTCTCTTACCAATAAAATATTTTCAACTTAAATTGTTTATTAAACTATGGAGATTGAGTAATGTTTAAACATTTCCTTTGTGTTAATATGCTAGGTCCAACTAGACCTATTTCCCACTCAAATACACCGGACATGTCGAGTTGAGATTCCTAAGGCGTTTCTCCAAGCATATCAGAGAATACGAGGAAAAGGTGTTGGCACGTATGGAGTAGATCCATCTTTTCCAGATCTGTGGCTGCTTCCGACGAAAGATCCTTCCACGCCTCATAATATGACCTGTGGACAAGAAGGATGTCAGGTTAAGGTTTGGAGTGACAAACACTCAAAAATTTTGAATTATGAACAAAACCAACAGATGAATCGTTTTACCATCTCCAGGCCGGAATAGCCTCTGGAGGACTAGTAATTCTACAACACAAAGATGCGATGAGCTTGTCGGACTCAGTACCTACGCAGAGAAAAACCAAAGAGTTCAATTCTCAATCAACGCCCAAGTAATCCGGAAACACAAGTGTGGTTTTGAGTCGCGTACCGAGGCCATAGTGAATAAGCATGAGAGCAAGTGCAAATACAACTGAGGGAAGAAGAACCCCGTAGTTTGCACACACAAGCTTTTGGAGATGCACGATTGCTTCCCCTATTACGTGCTCCGACTTTCTCATGCTGCCTCCGAGATTCCTTTTCTTCAAGTATTCTAACAATGTTTCACTCAAGACTGTTGGGTTCATATCATTAGCTTCAGAATAAAGCTTTCCAAGAATCACTGAAGCCGACAGCCATCGTAGAAACTTTGCTACCATAGTCTCTTCTTGAGGAGACTCACTAGGCTTGGATCCCTTTTTACAGTCAATCCTCAAGGCTGTGGAGGTTCCCCACAAAAGAAACCTTCTCAGCTTGTCCACGTCCATGCATATAATGCCAATTGGAGGGGTGCTCATTAGTATGGTATCAAGCCCACGCTCTGCACTAGCTTCAAATTGAGGAGAATCGCAATTAGCAACAGCCTCAAAGAGCTGGAATATCCCCTCCATTGTGATGGTGAAATGTGGCTGGAACATTTCTCGTTGCTGTGATATCTTTAGAGTAGCATATAGTATCTGCAAAATCAAATCAACCGAAGCACTATTTTCTCGTATTGATACCAATCCACCACCTAAAAGTCTGTATAAACGCGATGAGATTTCCATTAGCTCTTCGAGGGCAATTCTTTGCAACCACTCTGAAATGTTTCTGGAGGCGAGTGCATCAGATATGATCTGACAAAACAATACCACAATGCAAATTCAGCAAACGAATACTGTATTCTACACAAGGGCTCTTAAGGCAAACCAGACAACAATCATGGTCGATGGACTAATACTGTAATTACCTCCAAGACAACGACAAAGCGCAACTCTTCATCATCTCCAATGGGCAGCTTCGTAGTAAACATTGAAATAAATGATGAACACCACGATAACAGATAACAGTTCCTAATTAGATGTCGGGCCATCTTATGAGATTTGACAGACTTTCTCACAACCTGAAAAGTGAAAGAAAGACGGGTTTTGTCGTGTTGGATTTACGAGCTCATAGTTGCAGTAAGGACACCTCATGATAAAAATATTCTCAGAATTAACCTTATATTATTGAGACTGAAGAGGCAACTGCATATCACTAAGTGGCATTAAGGAAAGAAAGTATCACCTCAAGGATTAGTCCTTTAGTTTCAGCATCAGTGAGAGGAGTTGAGGAAAACCTCATCAATCTCTCAAGGACAGAGTTTCTAATGTAAATTTGAGCATCGTCTTCTGATTTCAAGCCCGCATATATTAGGCGAAGTACCCAAAGCCTCTGTACAACAGCGCTGCTTTCGAAAAAATCAGGAAACAAAGGTATTCCCTAGCAAAGAGAAAAACCAAAAACAGTGTGAGTGGTGGCAGTGTGTAAAGGATAAAGACAAGAGTTTACAGTTTCCAGAGAATAACCACCCTCAGCATCAGTGGATCTGATCTCTTCAAAAATTCAATTATGGGAACATAATGTTTGCGAGAAGAATCCAACAATATCAGAGATGCCTCAGCGGCAAAAACAGCAGAAACACTTGGGATTCTTTGCCATGGCTCCTCAACTCCATTTTGTACATACGACAGTAGAAGCATAAGTCCATCCTTTACATGCTTCTTCATCCAACAACACTACATCAAAACAAAGAAATTCTCACCAGTGTCCACAGAAGCAAACATGCATACAGATACATTAACAAAAAAGAACTATTACCTTAAGGGCTTTTAAAAATCTCCCAAGAGTTGCATCGCCCAATTTTCGCATCCCAAGATCTGCTGAAGACATGCTCACAAACGCAACCGCAAGCAAGCCTAAACTGGCGAATTCCACAGGTTCGATTAATCCCATGGACAATGAGTGTAGTGAGAATCGCAGGATGAAAGCCGGATCATATCGTGCAATAACAGGTGAGCGTTTCTGCACAGAGAGGAGGGATTAGTTTGAACGAAGTTTGAAAAATGCAACTACAAGTTACTTGTACCTCGCTTATTGGATCATCGTGTATGTAAGAGTTATCTGATATCTCTGCAGTATGTTGATGAGGAAAATGCAAAACAGTCAGAGCGCATATTTTGGGATCAACACAAAGATTGTCTTTGAAAAGACGCTGTCGGAGATTCTCCTCTGAATCAGCTTCCCCACCGTCAGATGCATCCTGAGAGAAACGCAGTCCCTCTCTTATTTCTAGGGCAGCCTTACCCCACAAACAATTTGTTTCAGAAACATTCAGCATGCTTTCGTCATCAATCAACTCGATGTCATGCATCAACTTGTCAAACTCAGTCGATTTCGCTCAGAGTTGCACCATAAGAAGACAAAACAAGAAAATGCAGGTCTTTCAGATTGATTCCTGAATCTTTTCCACATTTAGAAAGCAGAACTCTGAGAGTTTTGGCAATTTCCAACTGCACCGCATAGTCAGGTGCATCGAGACAACAACTTCCAACTCCGACAGAATTTGGACTGGAGATGATAAGATGTTTTAGAATGCTGGATAATTCACCAGTATGTGAAGTCGATAGGGATAGAGAACTGAAACTCGGTGGAAGCCGAGTATCTAAGAGTTGGATGTATGGTGNATACNAGCACTTTCCTNTAGACAATAAGGAGAAAATTNCCGTCATTATCTTCAATGTCTTTGAGTCCTCAAATCTATACTGAAGAACTGATTCCATCAGTCTCTCAAGGAAAGGAAGGGAATCCAATTGAACAAGCTCCACGCATGCCTCTTCCAAAAACTTTAGAATACTTCTCAAAATGAATTTTTCAAGGCTTTTACACAGGAACAGATAGTTCTCTTGTTCCGCCTCAGAATTCTGTTTAAAAGAATCGTCAGATAGCTTGACAACACATTCCCAAGTATTAACTAAAGCATTTAGTAGCTGATTTAATAGATTTTCTCTGTTGGATCCTATTTCTGGAGAAGTTGCATTCACACAACTACTTGCTTCCCACATACTTCTATCCTCAGGAAACAAACAAATCCTTGCAAGTTCTACTTTTGCAACTTCGCGGATAGCAACATTCAACATATGGTCTACTGGCCAAACGTCTACTTCTTTTATCTCTTTGTCAGCACTAGTGTGAGGAAACATGGAATATAATATCTTTAAGAGCTCGTTTGTTCTAGTTGGACTTTCAGTCAAGTGATACTGAAACATACGTACTGCCTTCCCAAGAAGACTCGCATCAAACATAGTGTCGATATCCTCAGTCATCGACACAAGAATCTCTTCATACTTCTCTTCAAAGATGTCCTGGGACGAAAAATCCGGCCACTGAAGGAAACCATTTACTAGTATATTTGAATAAACAGTTATATCCAAACACGGCTTCTCGAGTTTTGCAGAAACTGATGCCAGATACGACAGCACAGCAGGCAGAAGCATGATAAACTGATCAACTGTAAGCGTAGAGTGATCTTGTTGCTTGGCAAAGAAATGGTGTCCAAATATTGACAGATGCAAGGGACTAGACTCCACAAGATAGAACAATATCTTGGCTCTGGTCATGCTTGCCTGGTTAATGCAATGGATAATCAACTCTTTAGGAGTTCTCCCAACAATCTGTGAAATTATCAGGTTCAACGGGTGAAGAACACTACAATGCTGATTATGTTTCCCCTTGAAAATGCCACCAACAACTTTAAGCAAACAAGTATCTGCCGAAACCAAACCAAAAGAGGTAGAAAACCTGCACGCCAGGTTATAGACTTCCTCAATGAGGTTCCTGTCATAATTCTCTTCTTCAAATTCCCACAGCAAATCATATACTCTTCTCTTAGAAGCCGTCTGGTGTGAATACAATATAAGCATTTCAAAAGCTCCGGCAGCAATATCGAATCCCAAACTGAGAATCATTGTGCTACCCAATTCTTCCCCATCCATTTTCTTCAGCATAGAACGGGCAAGATAGAAAAGTTTAACAGGTGATATAAATCTCAACAAATCATGAATTAGTCGAGATGGTTGGAGAAGCGGAGCGTAATCTTGAGAACCAACGCAAAGCTCAAACTNGTCACTGAATACCAAGAGAAGCTTATTGACCAATTTCTTAAAAGCCATAATTGACTTATTTGCCTTGAGGTCCCCTTTCCGCACAATGCGTCTCTCATCAAAGAAAAAGTGCTCACAGGTAGAAGCCAATAGATCAAGGATGTGTTGATCTATTTCACTAATCAACGACGCTTCTGAAAAAATCTCAACATTGCACTGGAGGTAATGTGCCACAATCCAAGGGACTCTCCACCAGTGCCATCACAACTGGGTGGCAAAGGACTGTCTGGGCCACTAGATTTGCAAAAGGAACAAGAAGCTTATCTGAAGAGGGTCCAGAAACAAGGTTCCGTTCTGATATTTGCGAGAACAAGGGATTCATGACACTTAAGCAGATCTCAGAGCGTTGACAGAGTACCCGAGCTGGTAGAACCTCGTAAGCTGATCGTATTTGGGAGAGCCAGAATAGTATTGAATTGATATCCAATTTAATACTATCACTTTTAGGCTGCGCAGCTTTTAGCAGCAGTAGCTTTGACATTCTTTTCGATAACTTTTTGTTATCCATTATCATAACTGCATTAAGTAACACATGAAAAGGAGCCTGCTCTAAAACCATAAAGAAGACAGACGATTCAATATCATGAGTGTCCATCTTACTTGTGATTTCTTCAGTTATGGATGAGTGGTCAGCAAAATCAATCTCACTATCAACTGTTCCTCCTTCAATCCTCGACACAGTAAGTTCTGAACCTTGCACAAATAAGCCAGGCGACTGCTTTAAAAGGTTTCCGAGGAAGTTTACCTCTAGAAAGGCGATGGACTGCAAAAATGAGAATGATGTTCCGTAGAAAGCCCATGAAACAGCCATCACAGAAGCAAAATTCTTCAAAAGCGATGCAGGTGTTGCACATATCAATGCAGAAGAAAACTCTTTAACGACTTCTGGAATATAATCCGGAGAAATACTTCTCACCCGTTCTTTTATCTTACCAAGAGTCTTTGCAAAAGAAGCTTTAGCACGTCCACCTGTTGTCTGTCTGGAATGCAAGATGAAAGGTTTATTTTCTGACAAAGATTGTGAGAAAAGCAGCAACATTCTCAATGGCCTCCATTCACAAGAATCCTTAGATCCATCAACATCCTTAGACAAAACTGACTGGACCAAACATGAGAGTGGTTTGGAATCTACCTACAATATTCAGTTTATAGAAAAGGTATTGGTAAACTAGAATATAAACATATTAAATGGTAAAAGTTATCCAGATGTATATGTACCTGAGTTTGCAAAAGAGATTTCAATGTGCTGCAGACATACAGAGATATTGCAGTCTTCTCTTCTAAAGAATGTTTTGCAAATTCCTTATTTAGTAGACTCACACACTTCTGCAGAATACAACGAATTAGGGGGCTAAAACCAATTGATACACCTGCAACAAACATATAGAAGATACGCCAGTCAATAAATTCCTCTAGGCTTATCAGAAACCCAAAGGATAAGTAACCAGGATTAAAATTGTATGAGATTAATTGAGAAAGAATTTGCCATAAATTCATTAGATGATTAATTGCCACTCCTAACCTTAGACAGTTACGGAAAATAATGTAAATATAAACAAACAAAGGAGCAATATTTTTCACATCTCAAAAGCTAAATCTATACCAAACCGTTGATTTTGAGGGCAAAATTTACCTTCTAAATGGGACAAAATACTTCTGACAATATCCCATTGCGTGAATAAATGATTTCCAACAGTCGAAACAGCATCACATAAAAAGGAGATGACAACTGATGACATGCTCTCTACACCCTCCTGAACCTTACGAGGTGCTTTAAGATTTTGATAACCTGGTAGAAAGAGGAACCATCCACCAATTTCACTTCGATTTTTGTCAAATGCACCGGTGCTGCTCATAGCTACCACTGCTAAATCTTTTGCTAGATCCTTCACTTCGTCATCAGATGAAAAAAGTAACAGATTCATGAATACATCCAAATGCTTGAACATCAGTGGTGGAATTCTTGAAGGAACTCTCTCGATTTGGAGCTTTGGCGTCCAACTGATGTACTCTTTTAGGACAGACAAGAGAGCTCTCTGCAATTCAGCTGGTAAACCCGAAGAACTGCTCAGTAATTTCATGAAGACATCAAACGATCCGTCAAGCCCACTAAGCCCAGAATGCTGCAAAGATGAAAAAACATGTAGCTTAAAAACCAGATGAGGAACTTCTAAGCTACTACTAATGCATAGACGTATTAACAAAATACTAAATCAAACTGACAAAAGAAACAAGAAATTTGACCAAAACTGAGTAAGCAAAGCAAGATCGTTTCTGGTACCAACTCAAAAATCAAAACTTCACTCGGTATACTACACTTTCAAGAACTTCAAAACTAAAACTTGATACATAGGACATAAAGTACAATGCAAAACAAGAAGACACATTAAAATATCATTTAGTAAGAAAATTGTAAAAGGGGGTTCAACAAACAACACAACAGAGTTCATAATGTGAAACATCAACGTACCATATAAATCCTGAGGTCATCCAGGAGGTTTATGAGAAGTGCTTCTTTTCCAGCATCTGCCTGATCTACCATCTGAGCATCTGCCTGATCTGTCATCTGAGCATCCGCCGAAAAGATATCTTTATCAGAACCTACGACATTCATCACGATATCACCATCCTTCTCAGGTCTCTTAAAGCGTTTCCTATCTACTAATCCACTATCCAACACTGCTTTTCTTTTTCTCTTCAAAGACACCTTTTGAGTTCCGCTAGAACCCCCCAGAGAGTTCAGTACAGTCAATAACACCTGGGGATCTGGAAAAAAGCTTCTCGCCTCACCCATGACATCCCGCTCAAGAGAAGCCTGAATTTGCTCACCAGGGCAGCTATGAGGCGAGCAAAGTTTCCAAGCAGTAACGAAAGAATCCCACAGCTTTAGCGTCTCCGAGAGAAATCTCAAGGTCCCACCTTTCACAAGAGAATCAGAATGAAGCATCCCTTTAGTGATCAATGACCGGCTAAATGGTCGGGGGCACACGCATTTCATGATAGTCTGAACATCTGAACCAGCAGATGGAGGTGTAGCGCGTTGATCTGGATTGAGAAAGTCAAAAGAACATGTAAGTCTTACCGAGGATACCAAATTTGCTGCCAAGGAAATAGAAGAAGACCTGCAATGACTTCAGTAACTAGAGCAGAAAGAATAAATAAAACAGCAAAACTTGACGGTACTCTGAGTACGACAGACTTACCAGGATGGTGATGCAATATCTTCAACATTGTATGGGAATTCGTCCAAAAAAGCTGAAGCAAAAGACGGTCTACCCCTAACAATGGCTAGAAGCAAATCAGAGTGATAGCAACTATCTATTGTTCTCAACCTCTTCATGAGCCTCAGTAATCTTCCCGAAGCGCCAATCAGTTTTCTTTTTGCATCCGGCATTAAACCATTAGAGGGGTCCGTACAAACTTTGACAAGAACATCATGGGCCAGCTCATTCACAATCCCATCATCCTCTCTTGCTGTAATGCTGGCCAGCTGCTTTAGCGTCAAGTCTCCAAAAAGTGCTCTTCTTAGACCAGGAGAAACCTTTGATTGATCAAGAACAAGGATCTTATCCTTCAACGTAGACAAGACAGAAGCCACAGTGTCTTCATCATCATTACCAAGGCCTTGTAGGACTATAGAATACATTTCCTTCTGCTTTAAAACAGACCTTAGAAATCCAGGCTTCCCAACTTCAAGGAACGATATTGCAAACGCAACAAACCTCCTCCTAGTCCTTCTTTGCTTTTTATACTCACCTAGTTTCGCGAAACCCTTAAAATGAAACTTATTAGCTATCTCAGATCCCATGTGAGGACCGCGTCTAACCATCGTAGCCAAAAGTGAAAGTGCAGCATTCTGTTGTTTTTCCTCATTGATGTTCAATACTGTGCAAATGTCATCGAGTTTTTCTCTAATAAGTAACCCACAAAACTCGTCAATAGCTCTTCCAATCTCAGTTGATCTACTTCTCCCCTCAGGATGGCTCAAAATCGTCTTGATAAGTGGGAATATACAGGATGGTCCTCGTTTTCCGCCATGTCGAAGCTTCCATGCCTCTAGAAGCTCAACAGGAAAGTCTGGTGAGCTATTGAAATATAATCGCAACAAATCGCCGCCGGTTTCTCCTTTTAGTAACTTTGAAAACTCTTTAGCGGCCTCAGAGCATAGCTTAATCTCCTGTGAGCTAATCTTATGCAGCAATTCTCTAAGTTTAGCTTCAAGGGCTGGTCTGAAAGCCATCACTGGGATTCTCTTCACCTCTTGAACTCTGTTCACAGCATCAGGATATTTGAAAAACTCACTACCTGCATCACAAACAATACAATACAGCAGAGTGTTAGTTAAAGCGATTCTTTTCAAACAAAAATAAGATAAAACTGCAAAGCAACATACCTTTCTCACGCTCCATACTGGAAGCAGAGTCTTTTGAGCATTTAGTCAAAAAAGCTTTAGCAACCAACTTGTAATCTGACCTCAAGATTTTGTCTACTGAAATAGCAAACAAATTATTCAATCAGAAATTAAACTACTTTTCCACCATCCCACAATGTCCGTTGAGAATTAAAGCTACACAAAGACTAAAAACTTCCCTTTAACCAAGAGAAACAAATCTTCATACCAAGGATTAATCAAAAACTTTTTTTAGTTTTATAACAATTATAAAACTCGTAATAAAATTAATCATTATAATTCTATTAATCTTAATGCTAAGGATTAACCAAAACTTGTTTTTTTTTTTTTGGTAGCAACAAATCAGACAGGAAAATTATCATAAAAATCAGACAGAAATTTGTAAACGGGTCTACACAGTTTAGCCTCTTACGGTACCTCGATCTTCCAAGTCCAATGTTGATTCCGCCATTAAAATATAATTATAATTATAGTCAAGAGTTTACAGACAGAACTCTTCTCTGCCCTCAAAGATGTCGGCGACGTGTCCGTAGTTGAAACCCTAGTTGTAAACAAGAAGATGATGATGATGTGTCCGTAGTTGTAAGTCACGCGACCAACTTAATTTTTTATGGGCTCAAATGGGCCCAATAAGTTATACGCTTATTTATAAACTAGTAATAGCAGGGCAAAATATTTGTTAAATACAATAGGTTACCAAGTTTCGAAATCAAACGTGTTCTTTAAGAGATAAATAAAATTTACTACAACAACTAGAATAGAATCTGCCTTAATACGGATAATAACTATAAAAATTAATAAAATAAATATTTAATTTATATAAATTTTCAATATATACACTTGAAGAGTATTAATGACATCATAAGTCGAATATTTCTATTTTTATTGTGATATTTTATAACTTTATATTGATAAAATAAGTATTCTTATTGTTTTTATATTATTTTATTTTTGTATGGTTGTGTATATTTTTAAACTTTTAAATTGAGGTTTCTATAATCTTTCCAACTTTTGTTTTTCTAATTTATATACCTTCTTTTTTTTATCATTCGTGTATAAACTTTTTGTCTCCTTTTTTTCAATTTAAATATCATTCGTCTTTAA